TATCTATCTATCTATCTATCTATCTATCTATCTATCTATCTATCTATCTATCTAATCATCTATCTAATTTATCATATGTCTTTCATCTGTCTGTCTGTCTATCTAATCTATCTAGTCTTAGTCTTAGTCTTAGTCTTAGTCTTAGTCTTAGTCTTAGTCTTAGTCTATCTATCTATCTATCTATCTATCTATCTATCTATCTATCTATCTATCTATCTATCTATCTATTATCATCTCTCTCTCTTTCATCTATCCATCCATCCATCCGCCCCAATGTATTCGTGGTCCCTGGCTCAGATTACATTAATTCTCCCTCTTTTCAAGAAGCTTCCCAAAAGATGTATAAATCGTTTTGAAAACAACACGGTGAAACCCTCTACAGCAGGGGTCTGCAAACTTGGTTAAGTTTAAGACTTGTGGACTTCAACTCCCAGAATTCCTGAGCTAACATGACCGGGGGAGGAATTCTGGGAGTTGAAGTCCACACACCTTAAAGCTGTCAAGTTTGAAGACCCCTGCTCTACGGGGTCTGCTGAACCCTCTTCGTGCTCTCTAGGCGTGCTTGTTTTCTTGCAGACGTTTCATGACCCAAACTAGGGAACATCATCAGTGTTAGTCATCTAGAAGCACTGAAGAGATCCCCTACGCGAGTCATGAAACGTCTGCAAGAAAACCACCAAGCTCAGAAAGGACCAAGGATCTCACAGTCCTCCTCCTCCCCACCAATTCCACTCCCTTCTAGCACTGATGATGTTACCTAGTTGGGTCATGAAACGTCTATAAGAAACACAAGCTCAGAGAGCACCAAGGACCCTTCATTTCAACCCTTGAGCTACAAACATTCTCCTTTATTGATACCTCTTCATGCTCTAAAATCAGGAACGACCTTGCTTCCTAGGAAAATCCTTCAAGGTAAAAACCAAACTGTCTTAATAAAATTTAATGAACATGAAAGAAAGAGGGGGATTGATACTGCATGACTGGCCTCTTTAGCCACCACATGAAAGTATATGCAAAATGGACCTTACCACTAAGGGCCTCTTCACATTTTTTAATCCAGACAGGAAAGGAGGAATCAGCACCTACAGGTAGAAAGAGGCAGAGTTAACAATGCCACGGTGTCATAGACCCAAAAAATGATCACCTCTTATTTCAGGATTTTTTTTTTCCTACTCTGAAAAGGACTCTGGCTTTTATTCCTTAAGACAGACTCCTAGCGTTTTAATTTTGAAAAAATTATGTAAAAAGAAGTACAGGCAAAATGTGTGGCTCATCTGTGGATCCTTCATCATCATGAATACAAAAATAATGCGAAGCATGAGAAAAAGTAGCAGAAACCATTTTTTTTTAGAGTGCTACTGTTTCTCACGCATCGAGCAGTGAAAGGAATGCAGTATTTTTTCGGAATGCAGTACTTCTGAATGCAGTATTTTTGGCAGCACCAGGCAAATATTTGGATACTATTTGCTGGTCTCTTGACTTCTCAACCTCATCTTACAACCCCTGATCTTTTGGGATGATCTCAAAAAGTATTAATCTGGCCTCGATCTACTCAGCTTCCAAGCCTAGACAAATGTCACCCAGATACATGTTATCTATCGACTACAATCGAGACCCGGATTTCTGTTGCTAAACAAGATGGTTGATTAAATGAATCAAGCTCAGTTTTACCACTTTTTTGGGCTACTGTTGTTAAGCGAATTGCTTCAGTGGCTAAGTGAATCTGGCTTCTCCGAGTTGGAAGCTGGCTGGGAAGGTCACAAACAGTGGCAAGAATACCCTGGGATGCAGCAACCATTGTAAATACCAAGTGCCCAAATTTTGATCATGTAACCTCTGGGAATTTAATCTGTAAATGTGAGGACTGGTCATAAATCACTGTTTTCAGTGTTGTTACAACTTCAGTTGCTTAAAAAAAACACCAGTTGTAAATCAAGGGCTAATTGCTGCGTACAAGTATCCAGATTTCCTTATCTCCATTTAAAATATCAGTCAAGTATACTTTGCATGTATACCAAAAACATCATTAAATAGAGCACACAAATGCCAATGGAGATTCTCAGTCCTCCTAAGTCAGGGTTGTCCCAAAGGTGCTTTTTTTTCAAGAGGCAACTGGACTTTCTTGGTTTCTCTTTTGAAGATGTTTCGCTTCTCCCCCAAGAAGCTTCTTCAGTTCTGACTGAAGGGTGGAGGACGGAAGGATTTATATTCCTCGCAGTCATCTGGTCGTTAGTGCTCCCTCTGAGAATCATTGAGGCCACTTAGATAAATGAACAGATAAGCCTCCAAGTGGCCTGAACGACTCTCAGAGGGAGCACTAACAACCAGATGACTGCAAGGAAGATAAATCCCTCCATCCGCATCACCAACCAGCCCACTGAAGTGAATGGGACTCTTGGTGAGTCAACAGCTGGTCAGAGGAGGAGCCGCTATGGGACAGAGATGACAGTGGCTCTTTAAAAATTACGATTTAAATCGAGTTGATTCAAATCAAGCCTTTTTACTAGGGATTTAAATTGTGATTTAAATCAAATCCACCCTGCTAGAAACTCTAGGCCTGTTTCTCTCCTAATAAAGCAGAGCAGGAAACCATGATTTGATCCCAGCTTGTTTCACAGCCCTGCCTAGGAAACAGAAGCCAAAGCAGTTTTTATATTACAGCAAGTTAGTGTGAAAGGAGCTTCAATTGTTGGTTTAGCTATTTCCACCGCAGAACCAAAATAATAATCGAGTGGCAGTCACGGAACAGAGATCGCGCAAAGGCTATTTGCTCAGGATAAACCAGAATCCTTCACAATTTTGGCTTAGCATAACGAAGAAACGCAGCCATGAACAGATAAAATAGCAACCACTGACATTTCTATGAAGAGTGTTATACGATCTCCGCGGGAAAGGTCTGGCTCACAGAGAAAGACTAATTAATTTTCCAAGGTACTTAATTCTTTTGCAATTAAAATGTTCTCTTTTTTTTTTTACCAAGAAAAGAAGCAGCGAGACGTTTCCAATGTGTGCCGCACAGATTGCCTGAAAGTCTTTGTAATGTATAGCTATCCTCGACATACGACTGTGATGGAGCCCAGAATTTCTGTTGTTAAAAGTCATGGCAGTTTTAAATTGAGGATTCGACGAGATCAGAACCCAGTTTCACCACTTTTTTTTTTTTTGCGACGGTTATTATGCAAATCAATGTATGCTCCTATGTCCGCTGTCAGGGCTCTGACAATACACCCCCATTCAAAGTCTCCTAAGTCTCTAGCTGCATCCCTCAGAGTAAAAAAAAAAAAATTTGAAATGACCATGTTTGGGTTACCCGGGTGCGCCCCCCCTCAAAACCCCCTATTTTTTTCCCCCTTGCCCCTTGTTCCCCCCCCCCCCACGCCCTGGATGTATATTCTCCAATGGGACACATCCACAGCCAAGAGTCATCATCATGCTCTCCAGTAATAATCTTGCGCGCCAACAGCTTCGGCTGCCTAGCAATTATCTGAAGCATTTAAGGAATGCTCTACTTTCCCCCACTCCCTTTCTGCTGCCAACTAAAAAGACCAAAGAAGCTGTGATGCCCCAGGGTGGGATACAAAATGAACACAGTCACGAAAACAGGTGAAGCCCCTTTTATTCCTTCACTTTGCTTCCAAGCTCCAAATATCCTTGACTGGAGACAAAAAAAACTCCCCCACAAGCAGTTACGAAAAGCTGTTTAAACTAAAAATGATTACAAATTATAAATAGCAAAAAACAACACAAACCACACTGAATTAAGGGAACCAGGCAAGATAAGGGCTTGAAGACGTCCACAGATATCGGAACACACACTGGGAAGGATGCCAAAGTCAGAGAGGAAAGACAGACTAGAGATATTTCCAAGCTTTGTTTCCAGCACTGGCCCATACGCATGTCCATTCTTTTAACCAGTTCTCACAGCTGCAGCCCATGAAGAGGATCAGGGCCCTTTCCTCCCCCGTAGACCACGCCATTCACGTCTCTCCCTTATCCTCTCCTCCCTGCGGGCCCTAGGATGGAGAGGGGATGGGCCTGGGTCCTTCTCTGACTGCTCAGCAGGCCACTGCCCTTCCCCAGCCTCCGGAGCCACACTTCCACTTCCTGACGGCTGTTCCTCCTTTCCCTCGGAGTCAATCTCCAACAGGGGCATGACAGTAGTATTTTTTTAGTTGACAGCCACATTTTGCTGGAAACTGGCAAAAAAATTGGGTCATAAATCACAGATATGTGACCGTGGAACACCGCAACAACACATGCATTTGAGCTAGTTGCCAAGTGTCCAAAATGCAGTCATGTGACTGTGGTGTGTATGTATATGTGTATAGCTACCAGAACTGGTTCATAAGTACCTTTTGCAGCATCTGTTGTAACTCTGAACAGTCAGTTTGTTAAGCAAGGACTACCTGCATGTGACCACTACCAACTGAGTGGAATTGTGCACCCATTTCCTATGAACTACTGTATGGCCTGTCTACATTTTAAAACCCATGCACAAACATACTTACTATCCTCAGTTTGTCCCTCAGTGAAAGACTTCAGGGCGGAAGTGTAATTTTTCATATAATATTCACCAATTCTGAGTGAGAGAGAAAGAGATAAAAGGAGAGCATGTCAGCAATTGTTTTTCAATAACGTCCAAGAGTACCAAATCTTTGACATGACGTAGCAGGAAGAAAGAACTAATGCCGATAAGAGTCTCTTTTAGGTTTCTCAGCTCTGGATACTGTGTCTAGTTGTTCTGGTGTGCAGGGCTCTATAGCATCATTTTGAGGGAAGGAGTTGAAACAGTTTATGTCCGGGATGTAAGGGGTCCGTAGATATTTTCACAGCCCTCTTTTTGACTCGTGCAATAGACAGGTCCTCCATGGAAGGCAGGTGGGTAGCCATTGTTTTTTCTGCAGTCCTAATTACCCTCTGCAATCTGTCTTGTTGGGTTGCAGAACTGAACCAGACAGTTACAGAGGTGCATATAATGCAGGGGTTCCCAACCTGTGGACCACAGGTTGCCTATTTGCAACGTGGCCGGCTAGTGCGTGTACACATGCGTAGCTCCACTCCAAGTGTCGCAGGGGTTCGCAGCCCCACCTGCACAAATGTTGCGAATAAATACGAGTCGAGAGGTCCTCTACCACAGTAGTCACCAACCTTTTGGACCTCAGGGACCACCACACTCATAATTTTAAATCCCGCAGACCACTAATATGAATTTTGACTGACAGTGGCTTGCTGATGTTGGTGGGGAAGTTGGTCCCATATTCCAGAGCTGCAGGAGTCACAGGACTGGCCCTTTGGTCATCCCGGAGCAGCAGCTCTTCCACCCGGCCTGCCATGGACTGGAGGAGTTGCTCCGGGATGACCAAAGGACCAGTCCTGTGACTCCTGCAGCTCTGGAATACGGGGCCGGCCCGTGATGGTGTTGGAAATCTCAGCCGTAGGGCGTGGCCCGTGGAATGTGCAAATTTGTGGGTGGTGCAACGTGTAAAAATCAGCGTAGCCCTTGTCGGCCGGGACGAGGTAATGGTGCTCTTGGGCCAAGAGGGGAATGGAGGCACAGGGCTGAAGCAGCGGTGGAGATGGCTGGAAGGTGCGGGAGCGCCGCGCCACTTGCTTCAGTGCTTTGACTCCCAGGGAGAGAAGTTCGGCCAAGCTACCTGCAAAATCATCTTTCTCGAGAAGCCCTCGCAGAGAGAAGCAGCCGGAGTCAGTCTTGTCTCTCAAGAGCTCGGCCAAAGTTTCCCACGCGATGGGCCCATTTTCGGCTTCCAGAGAGCCTCGAGAGCCCAGGGGGAGGCCGTTTTCGCCCTCCTGGGGGCTTGAGGAAAAGCCTCCGGAGCCCGGGGAGGGCAAAAACGCCCGCCCCCTCGCCGTGGTGCAGGAGGCTGACTAGGCCACGCCCACCATGGCCACGCCCACCCTGCAACCGGGCAGAGAAAACTCTTTGCTAAAATGTTTGAAGGGTCACGAGATCCTTTTTGGAGGCCCTCTGACGAGCGAAGTCAATGACCAGTTTAGTTGAGTATACTTTATTGTCCTTGCACCTCGTGCAATGAAATTAAATACCATCTTCAGTGCACATCATGACCATGAAAATAAACACACACACACACCCTTCACACTCCACACATTGAACCGACCCCCCTCGGCACTGCACCAACACTGCACTATGCAGCAGAATTCAGCAGAGCTACTGCCCTGGGATAGAAGCTGTTTTTCAGCCTATTTGTCCCTGTTTTTAACATCCTGTACCGTCTGCCAGATGATAATAGTTCAAAAAAAAAAAGGGTGCCCAGGATGAGATGGATCTTTGAGGATGTTTTGAACTTTCTCAAGGCAGCGGGAGCTATAAAGCTCTTCCAAAGAGGGGAGAGGGCAACCCATGATCTTCTGGGCAATGACATTAACCCTCTGGAGTTCTTTCCTATCTGCCTCTGTGCAATTGGCAAACCCTACAGAGGTGCAGTAACAAAGTTAACAACTTAACTTTCACTTAACTGGGATACTCATTGATCAACAGCAATGATTCACGCAACAACTGCATTAAGGTGGTAAAATCGGGCAAAACAAATGTCACACTTAACGCCATAAATCTGGGGCTCAATTATGGTCATGAGCTGAGGACTACCCCTATAAGTCACCCTGCAGAGATTCACTGAACAGCCGTGCCTCGAAAGGTCGTAGAACGGGGCAAGGTTCACTTCACAAATGTTTCACTGCTATACAGGGTTGGATTTGGAAAAATTAGCTGGGGACGCATCCTGCATGAACGGAAGTGATTTATATTCGCACCAGCACATGCTTGACACAAAGTCATTATCTGCAAAAATAGGAGAATTAAACACAATTGCAAGTGAAAATTAAAAAAAATGACTCTTACCCTTGCCTGAGGAAGGCTACAGCATTATTAGGCTCAAGCGCTAAAGCCTTCTTGGCATCAGCCACTGCATCTGCAAAACACAAAACACAAATACATAAATATATATATTGCTTTTCTTTTATAACTGATTAGTAAAGATCGGCTGCATAGAATTCTTTTTTTTTTAAATTTTATTGGTTTTTTAAAAACAAACATAAACAAACAAAACATAAAAACATCAAGCTATCTTCCATAGGTGTACATACAGTGTGCCGGTTGGTTTACAAATTGTTTTGTGCTTCCATTTCGTAGTCTTCAATTACAATTACATTACATATAATGTCATATTGTCAATCAAGAATTAAATACCTTAATATCATTATTAATCAATCATTTGACTATACTTTTATTCATTCATGTTTTACAAGATAACCATAATTCGTTTATTTTATAACAGTTCATATTATCATCCCAAATCTATCCTAAAATCCTTTCTTAGTGAGCCCCTAGAAGCCAAGAGGAACATACGTGCCAAATTTCAAGTTTGTAGGCTTTACGCTTCTGGAGATTTTCTAAAGACGTGTGAGTGGCATTTCGCTTTTATATATATAGGGGGGGAAAACAGGAAAGCAAACAATACCGTGGTAATTCTGTAGAAAGATGTAGGCATAAGCTCGTTGGCGGTAATATTCCGCATGGTCTGGCTTCTGTTCCAAGGCTGCTGTCAGCATCTACAAGGGCAAATACAAAAACATTAACTTGACAAGTTTCCTGCAAAAACCTTACACAGCCTGCAGTGAAATCTCTTGCTTGACAAATCAAACAGAACTGATTGGCAAAATGCTACTTGCAAAGGAACTATGCCCAGAAGCCACGTTTCTGAGCTGGGAGGATAGCTATCTGTAACGGAGGAAAAAGGAGGAGGAAAAAAAAAAACACACCCCTGGAGCCTATGTCAAGAAATGAAGAGAGTATTCCAGTATTTCAGGGGCTGCGGTGGTGCAGTAGTTAGAGTTCGGTACTGCAGGCTACTTCTGCTGCCTGCCAGCTTCCTGCAATTTGCTAGTTTGTATCCTGCCAGGCTCAAGGTTGACTCAGCCTTCCATCCTTCCAAGGGGGGGTAAAAGGAGGACCCAGATTGTTGAGGGCAAGAGGCTGACTCTGTAAACTGCCTAGAGAAGGCTGGAAAGCGCTGTGAAGCAGGATATAAGTCTAAGAGCTACTGCTACCGTCACAAAGAGGAGGGGGTCAACTTTGTTTTCCAAAGCACCTAAAGGTAACAGAAGAAAAAATGGATGGAAACTAATGAAGGAGAGAAGCAATCTGGAATTAACAAGAAATTTCCTAACAGTGAGGACAATTAACCAGTGGAACAGCTTGCCACCAGAAGTTGTAGGTACTTGAACACTGGAGGTTTTTGAGAAGAGACTGGACAGCCGCTTGTCTGAAATGGTATAAGGCAGTGGTGGCTAACCTTTTTGGGCTCTTGTGCCAAAAATTGTGCTGCGCGTTGGTGCACGCACGCTCACATGCCAGCACCCAGAAGGCAATGCACAGACCCCCAGGCTCCCTGCACATGCGCACGCAATCTGCACCGCTGCCGCTTTACCTGCACTGCGCCTCACAGCTTTTTTTCGGCCAGTTTGAGGCCTTTTTCGGCCTCCCAGAGGCTTGGAAAAAAGCCTCTGCAGGCCGAATAATAAGCCCATTTTGTCACTTCCGGTATTACAGGAAGTGACAAAACGGGCCTATTTTTCTGCCTCCAGAGTCTATTTTCAAGCCTCTGGGAGGCCGAAAAAGGCCTCAAACCGGCCCAAAATCAGCTGTGAGGCGCGTCCATGCGCAGTGAGGTAAGTCTGCCTGTGGCTCGCATGCCGGCACAAATGGCACAAATATATCACGGGTATAAAGTTTCTTGCTTAAGCAGGGAGCTGGACTAGAAGACCTCCAAGGTCCCTTCCAGCTCTATTCCAATTGATTTGGCCAAGCCAGTAGGCATTTTAGAATGTTGTAAAGTCCATCCGTTGTTATATGTCTGCAGCTACTATAATGTATGTAAAATGTTGCTTCTTCTTGGTGTTAACCTGAAGTACAGAAGCCATCTTCTGGAAGCTGAAAAGTTCCTATCGCATCCGATAAAAGTGATTTTCTTTTGCATAAGGTAGCAGAAAAATAAAGCTCCAAGTGCATTGGATCTGTTGTATACTGAATTTTTATTACAATTCCCTTTTTTTTCCCCTTAACTCTTTTGTGTTACAGCACAACCTGCAACTCTCCAAGCAACAGTACGTCTCACAATATAGCGCAGTTTTGCTAAGCTGCAACGTTATAGATTAATAGCACCCTAAAATCAGGCTGAGACACTCAGAAATTTGAGTGGGTAAAACACCTCTTTTATACAGGTAGTCCTCAACTTATAACAGTTCATTTAGTGACCGTTCAAAGTTGCAACATCACCCCAAAAAGTGACATGACCATTTCTCACACATACGACCGTTGCAGCATCCTCGTGGTCCACCTGATCAAAATTCAGACGCTTGGCAACTGGTTCATACTTATGACTGTCGCTGTGTCCCAGGGTCATTGTGATCCCCTTTTGTGACAAGCAAAATCAATTGGGGAAGCCAGATTCACTTAATGACCACGTGACTAACTTAACAACTGCAGGGATCCGCTTAAGCAGGGTGGCCAGGAAAGTCGTAAAATGGGTCAAAACACACTTAACAAATGTCTCACTTAGCAACATGAATTTTGGAGCTCGATTGTGGTCGTAAGTTGAGGGCTACCTGGACATGAGCAGAAACCACAACAAATGACGCAGCTGTAAAACAGGGCAAGTGAAGAGAATTTAAACCAATGGTTTTAATATTTCCTTCATAATTATTTGTAAAAGTGTTGTGGAGATACACGTATTTACCCTTCATTTATTCATTTGATCTCAGTGTAAACACACAACTGATTTAAAATTATTACTTTTTCATCTATAGATTGTGAAGGAAAAGAGAATGACAAATTCACCTGCCCCTCTAACTTAGTTGTCAAGTCAGCACCAAAATTCCCACCAGCAAGAGAGGACCACAACTTGTTGTGATTGTTGCTGTGTTATGCTGTTGTTGTGGCCCTGTGTCTTACCATTTTCCTTTT